ATTTTAAGTAGATTTTTATATATAAATTCTTTGGGTCTGGAATGTGGTACAAAAGGTAGACAAATAGAGCTCCATTTTGTTGCTAACTTCCTTCACCAGGAGAATGAGATGCCATGCTTTGAGAGAGTTTTGGAAGGCATCACTGCCATTAGCAACACATTTTAACAACAACAGACACAGTCATTTCATCAGTAACAAGGAGCTGAGTTTTGACCTTCACATTTTCCATGTGTACTACTTACTGAGTGTGGTGGTCCTATCCTACGCATGAGCTCTAATAAGCATTCATCGAAGGGAAGGCACTACCTTGGCCACCAATAGCTTTAAGTAAATTATGGTCAAGTCACTTGGCAGTTTTGCTAAAACACGAACAAAAAAAGCATTGCTGGGGCGCCTGGGTGGCTCAGTGGGTTAAGCCGCTGCCTTCGGCTCAGGTCGTGATCTCAGAGTCCTGCGATCAAGCCCCGCATCGGGCTCTCTGCTCAGCGGGGAGCCTGCTTCCTCCTCTCTCTCTGCCTGCTTCCTCCTCTCTCTCTGCCTGCTTGTGATCTCTCTGTCAAATAAATAAATAAAATCTTTAAAAAAAAAAAAAGCATTGCTAATAGACATCAGACTTGAGATACATAAGTAATAGGTGAAACATGATTTCATATACATTTTGGTAAACCTAGAAAACAATTTCAGATATTGTTGTCCATGCACATTGGCATTTTAAGGAGCTAGTTGATCATGTGCTGTTCCTTCCCATAACAAGAGATTTTGAGTTCAATGAGGATGAACTTCTCATTCAGAAACCTGTTTGTGCCCGTTTCCTTCCCAGTCTGTGGTAGGATACTGTCATCATTCAGTATTGGTATGTTTCAACTTAAACACACCGGAAATTACTGTGTAGGACTGAAGGCAGAGCCCTGTGCTGGTGTCTCTGAAAAGACTAGTTTTATTAGTTATACTATTCAGGTTTTTTGTTGTTTTAAAAAGACCCCCAAAAATCCAAGTCTGCATTTTGTGGAACATAAGCCAAAACTAATTGAGGTTGTTATGGAAAAAATGTCTCATTTTTAATGGACTGTATTACCTCTGGGATCCTGCTGGCCAAAGCTGTATAGCCCATAAGGCAAAAGTTACAATTAGAATAATGGTTTTCATATTGTATTAATTTGTTTTCATTACTAAATTTTTACAACTTGATCTTTGGAGGCGCTTTGTACTGTGTAAATGAAATTTACTGGAAGTATACATAAGTAAACCATAAATTGACATCCTAATAAACCCTAAATGATTTTTTTATATTAGTTTTGATCATCTGTGTTGTTTTATGGGGTATTTGCTAATCCTTGGTATTTTAGCCACATGCTCGTGTCTCGTGATTTAAATCTAAATGAAGTTTAACTTCATTGCCATACCTCTGAAATTTTTTTAAAAAATTGACTAATGAATAGATAAGATCTACCCACGCTCGCACACCCATAAGGCACTAATAAAAATCCTGTAGGAGGCAGCGTGGTGGGGTTCCAGCTCCAGCTATATTTGCGATCTTAAGCTTTCCATCTGTATTAGTTACCAGAGGCTGCTAGGCTCTGTAACAAATTAGTACAAACGTGGTGGCTTAAAACAACAGAAATTTGTTCTCTCACAATTTTGGAGGTCAGAAATCAGATTCCCGGGGTCAAATTAAATGCACACTCTCAAGGTGGGGCTGGGGGGTGGGGGAGAGTGTATTTCTGGTGGCTGCCACCTACCCCTAGCCTGAAGCTGTATTGTTCCATAATCTTCAAGGCCAAAATCAGATCTTTCTGGTGTCTTCTCATGGCCTCCTCCCTTGAGCACAGACTCTCCTTCTGCCTCCTTCTCATAAAGGCACTTGTGGGGCGCCCGGGTGACTCAGTCAGTTAAGCATCTGACTCTCAATCTCAGCTCAGGTCTCGCTCTCAGTTTTGAGTTAGAGCCCTGCAGTTGGGCTTCACCTGGGTCTGCTGAAAAGATTAATTAAATAAAGGCACTGTGATTAGATTTCTGGCTCAGAGATTATCCAGGATAATCTTCCCATCTCAGGAACCTTGACCTAATCACACCTGGGAAGACCCTTTTCCAAATAAGCTAACACAGGTTTGAAATTAGGACCTGATTATATTTGGAAGTCATTATTCAGGTCTACTATGCCATAGGTTTTTCTCTTCTGCAAAACCTCGGCAACAGTATTGCCAACGCAACTTTCTTTTTTCTTTTTCTTTTTTGTTTTTTTAATAATTCATTTATTTGAGAGAGAGTGAGAGAGAGCATGAGCGAGAAGGTCAGAGGGAGAAGCAGACTCCCCGTGGGGCTGGGAGCCCGATGCGGGACTCGATCCTGGGACTCCAGGATCATGACTGAACTGGAGGCAGTCGCTTACCAACTGAGCCACCCAGGCGCCCCCAAAACGTTCTATAATAATGGAGATGTCCTGTATCTGTTGTCTGGTACAGTAGCTTCTAACCACAGGAGACCACTGAGCATTTGCAGCATGGCTGATGCAACCAAGGAGCTGAATTTTTTCATTTTACTCAGTTTTAAGATACTTTATTTGACACAGAGAAATCACAAGTTGGCAGAGAGAGAGGAGGAAGCAGGCTCCCCGCTGAGCAGAGAGCCCCATGCGGGCCTCGATCCCAGGACCCTGAGACCATGACCTGAGCAGAAGGCAGAGGCTTTACCCACTGAGCCACCCAGGCGCCCCTATTCAGTTTTGATTTAAACTTAAATAGACCCATGTGACGTGTGACTTGGGCATATTGGGCAGCACAGTTCTAATATCTATAGTTCTACATTCTGAACTCTGAGGCCCCTTAGGAAAAAAAAAAAAAAAAAGGTAGTGTCCTTTTTTTCTTTTTCCCCCTTATCTGGCTTAAGACTGCTTCCATCTTCCACCTGCTATTGTTTAGTCTAATGGACTTTAAACTTTTTAGCACCAAAACCCTTTCTACTGGGGGGCACCTGGGTGGCTCAGTTGGCTAAGTGGTTGCCTTCCGCTTGGGTCATGATCCCAGCTTCCTGGGATCCAGTCCCACATCGGGCCCCTTTCTCAGTGGGGAAGTTTGCTTCTCCCTCTGCCTGCCACTCCACCTGCTTCTGTTAGCTCTCTGACAAATACAGAAGATCTTTTAAAAAAAAAAAAAAAAAAAAAAAGCAACAAAAAGCTGGAAAACCAAAGTGTAAACTGGGCTGTACTGGTTGAGGTTTGGTAGTGGGAGAGGAGGGTGGGGGAGGACCAATGGCCAACCCAGGGTCTCCACCTGTTCACCCGGCCCAGGTGACTCTTTTAGGGGCAGTGGCAGTGGTTGGTGACACCACTGGTTATTCTTGGCAAGCGTGTTTGCTATTCACACCCTGAGACAGTGGCTAGCAAACAGTGGTTCCCTTGGCCCCTTATCCCTGAACCACTGTTGATGTCCTGTTTTACCAGAACTTAGGGCTGAGGCCCCAATGGAAGCTTTAGGACTCTCCATTCTTCTTTCCCTTTTCCCACTTAGCACTTGAAGTCACCTCATACAGGCCTTTTGTTCTCCCAACCACCCGGCACCCCGACACCCCTCCACCGCCATCCTCCACCTTGCTGACCAGTTCCTACACTGAGCAAGGAAGCCTCACAGGTCTTTACAATGGAGGACTCCATCAGCAGATCAGTTCCACAGTATTCATGGACTTTTGTCTGTTTTATTCACTGATGTGGTCACAAAACCTACAGCAGTACTTGGCCCATGATACGTGCTCTAGTTACTGTATAGAAATCAAAGCCAGCATTTTGGTATAGAAATACTAAACACCAGCACTGTCATTTTATTACAAGGACCATACAATATTATAGAAATGATACTTTAGTTCTACCAATAAATGACATTTACTGAGCACTCATTACTTTACCAGGTAGTTACTATGCATAGACTCACCTTTAAACTATGAGGATTAGCAAGAGACTGAACCTATGTTTAGTGTTGTGCCCCTTCTAGTGTTCTTACTGGCTGTAAGCCACTCACTTGAGTGCCATATATAATTCAACCAATATTATTGATATTAGGCTTAATTATAAATGATACTGCTCCTTGTAGTATACTCGTGATGGGCTTAGCGCTCAAATATACCAGAATCATTATGACAGGAGCTTGATTAGCCCCTGGGAATATGATAGAAATCAAGATGGGGGGGCACCTGGGTGGCTCAGTGGGTTAAGCCTCTGCCTTCTGCTCAGGTCATCTTAGGGTCCTGGGATCTAGCCCCACAACAGGCCTTCTGCTCAGCGAGGAGCCTGCTTCCCCCACTCTGTTAAATAAATAAAATCTTGGAAAAAAAAATAAAAATAAAAACAAAGAAACCAAGATGGATTTCAGTAAAGTAGGGGCAGGGCAGTCGGGTAACCACTGACTAGACTTAAGTATGACAAGGCTGTTATAGGATGCCAGAGATTTCTAGAACAAGAGCACTAATGGGAGGGCGGTGAGGGGAGAGATGACGGTGGCCACAGAGAAGTTGGTTAAGAGCAGAAAAGAGTATGGGTGTGAGGGAACATTTCTAGGTAAACATTACGGCACTCAGAGACCTGGGAGGCCAGAAGGTTATGAAATACCATCTTAGCCTGCATACAAGCAGTCATTTCTCTGCACTTTCACTTTGCTTCCCCCCAAAACCTTTACACACTTCTCTCTCGGGGCCTTTTGTTTTCACTCTGCCCGAAACGTTCTTCACCCAAATACATACAGAACCACAGCATCTCCAGATCCCAGTCCCGGTCCCCCTTGGCCAGCCCTGAGCTCACGTCCTTTACTTACAGTGCACATACATGCGGTTCCTCTCTCCCTTCCCTACTCTCCTCCCCTCTAGCAATTATGGCCTTCTCACATAGTTGTTCAATAGATGACCTGAAAAATAATCCTGAGGCTGGATTTTACTGTCATATGCAAGTGTAAATGAAGTTTAGAAGAAAAGGCTGGCACAATGTTATGAAATAAGCATTAAGAGTGACTCCAAGGTGAATATTAAATATCTTTATTGAAAACTTCAGGAAAATGAGGTATTTGCAGACATTCAGGGCTGGTCAACTAACTACTAACAACTACCTGGTCAGGGCAAACAACTAACACATACTAGGCTCTGTTCATCTGGCTACACTGTCTCATTTCTTCCCACAGGAAAACGTCCCCAGCACCTTCAAGATTTTGAGATTCTAACAATCAAGCACCACTGTATCGTTTAAATCCCCTCACAGCTCCTTATGCTCATTCATCAAAAACACCTAACATGCAGACAGATGCCCCCTTTCTGCCAAATTCTGGGTAAGTTCCATAGGTTTGATGTAATTAAATACTAAGAAGACCTTATATTCTTAACAGCTCTAACTGTGGTCTCCCCTGACCAAACCGGCCTCAGCTGTTTCAGTATTACTATGGTACCACTAGAACGTTAAATGCCAAGAGAGAGAAGTGACTTTCCAGGTGGTCACATGGCCAGAAAATTATATTAGGACCCTTGTTCAGGGCTACACACATGGTGTGTAGTACCTAACCTGTCTGTTGCTTCATCTGTAAAATGAGAGAATAGTTCCGACCTCACACAGTTGTCAGAACTAAAGGACAGTTGGAAATAAAAAAACACCTGCTATGCTGCCCGATCACCACCAGCACTGTCCTGTTGCTAACACCTGTGAAGGCTATGCTGGACACGTGGCTGCTCCAAGTGAGGAGGAATATCTGACCTCATTAGAGGCGTAAACTGCAGAATTGGTATAAGTCAATAAAAATACCAGCATTGGAAAATTCCAGCTTCCACCGCTTGTGCCTGTAGTCTTCAACCTATAAAGAAGAAAAAATTCCAAATGACCTTTCAAACAGAAAACACCTTGTGTAGACTTTTTTCCCCACCTTCAAAGATAAGCATCTCTGGAGGTATCCTCAAACTACGGTTAGGTTCAAATTCATCACTGTGCTAGGAACTGAATAAAAATATCACGAAGGAGCTCTTGGGTAGCTCAAGCATTTGCCTTGGGCTCAGGTCATGATCCCCGGGGCCTGGGATGGAGCCCTGAGTTGGGCTCCCTGCTCAGCAAGGCGTCTTCCTCTGCTCCGCCCCCGGGGGCATGCTGCTGACCTGTGCTCTCCATCGCGTGCACGTGCTCTAAGATTAATAAAATCTTAAAGTCACCAAGGTGCTTGAACCAAAAAAAAATTTCCCTCTGGTTCAGCTGTGACTCCAGACAGGATCCAAAGAGGAGTTCTACGATCTCTTCCCTGGGTTTTATGGAGACTTACTTTACCCTTCTGTGTTAGCCTCTTAAGGCACTGCGTCAGCCTTAAAAGGGCACAGGAAAGGGCCGGTTGGGTTTTCTACAGGGTTCTCTACGATGCCTGCACTCCTCTCATCTATCCCCTGGATCTCACTCTGCGCTTTCTTGAAGAGTCCGAAAACCCACCGGAAGCAGCTGCTGTGCGGGGGGAGCCCGGGAACGCGCATTCCCCCAATCCGAAGTCCACTGAACCGAACACGTGGGTGCCCCGGTCGCCACCGGCCACGTGCTCCGAGCCTGGGTCCTCGCATTTCTCTCCAGGACGCGGACCTACCTGCGCGTAGAGCTCAGCCCACGCAGCCCCGCACACGTCGGTGACAAACTCTCTGGTCCCCGGGTCGGGCCCGGCTCCCGCAGGCGTAGGCGGGCCGGCCCCGAACCCGCTACGAGGTGGCCGCGGCGGCGCCCTGGGGGAGCAAAGCGCGAGGTTGTTAGAGCGGCGGCCCCGGGCGCGGGGAAGCCTGCGGGCGGCTCCGCGCGGCGCCTGTGCCTCGCGCGGCCCCGGGACGGACTGGGCCGCCCGTCCCCCGGGCCTCGGAGGAGACTGCTCTACCCCTGCGTTCTGGCCGCCGGGAGCAGCGGAGCTCAGGGCGGGCAAAGCTCGAGGGGACGCGGAGCGAGCGTAGCCCCAGCCGGGCCCGCAGGCCGGGCGCCCTAACCGCCGCACCCGCGCACATTCACGGCTCACCTCCGCGGGACGCGGGCGGCGCAGAGACTCGCACGCTCTCGCGGCCACCAGGACTACCGCGCGGCTAGCAGGAGGCGGAGCGGCGGGCAGCCTATCCCAGGAAGCCTCCGGCCGGGGGCGGGGCGGGGCGGGGCGGGCCCGGGGCGGCTATTGGTGCCCGCGGTCCTGGGCCCGCCCAGGTCCTTCGGGCTCTTCCGCGGCTGGAGGACGAACTAGGCCTGCGCGGGGCATCTTTTTCGGAATCCGGAGTCCTGGCGCCTCCCCTGGGCGCTCGCGGTTCTGGTTCTCGCGGGCAGCGTGCCTTCCTTGGGGTCCCTCCTGGGGGAGGGAGCGGGTTCACGGTCACTCTAGGGCTGGGCCAGGACCCAGAGAGTCCCTTTCCCATGACTAGACCAGCCCGGCGTGTGTTCCGAGTCCGTCCTAATGAACCGTAAGCTCCAAGAGAAGCCGGACCGAGTCTCTTTGACCACGTTCACTCAGGGCCCCTCCTAAATCCGAGAGGACCATTGTGCATTCATCAGCCGAGCTCAGTAAGTCGACCATAAACGGCACGGGCTTGGGGAGCACCATAAACCTTCCCTAGGTGACAGTCTCAAACTTGACAAACAAGTGGAATAAAATCGGAGTATATGCGAAAATAAGAGAACTCCGATTACAGTCCTAAGAATTTGCCATCTGTTAACTGATTTAGCCTTAGAAGTATCTTTTCTCAGGCCCACATTTTAAATGGGGAAACACACACGCAGAGTAGCTTTCCGAGGTGACAGAGTAGCTAGCAAGTGGTGGATCTGGGATTTCAACCCCAAAAGTCTTATTAAAAAGTAGAGCCCCTCAAAACACTACCACACTGCCTCTCCCAGGTGTGTGGAGCCAGATGGGAAACCAATAGCATTTCCATTTGACTGTCTGATCAGGATAGGCCTTCTCTGTGTGGTTGGGGGTCAGGAGGCCCAAAGAACAGGAAAGCACTTGACCTTTTTAGGACCAAAAAGTATAAAAAGAATTTAAGGATGTAGGAGCAGAGTGGCCTGAGATGAGGCTGCACGGGGGCCAGACAATGCTGGAGGCCCTGGTAGAGTGTGTTTTTTATGCAAAGAACAATGAAAAGCTATTCAGGCAGTTTTTTTAGGAGGGAAAATGATAGGATCTGAGGTAGGGTGTGGTTTGGGAGTCATTAAGATGCCTTTGCTGAGGAGAAGAAATGGAATAAATTTTATTTTTTTAAAAGATTTTATTTATTTATTTGACACACAGAGATTGACAGCAAGAGGGAGCACAAGCAGGGAGAGCTGGAGAGGGAGAAACAGGCTTCCCACTGAGCAGGGAGTCCGATCGATGCAGGGCTTGATCCCAGGACCCTAGAATAAATTTTATTAATAAGTCCCGGCAGCCAGCCACTCCCTACTTTGTGGATATTCGTAAGATGAATGTAAAATGAGTTAGAGTGGCAGAGGGCATATCATGTTGCTGTCCCTTTAACTTATCTCAGAGTCTTCTAATCATGTCTCTAGATTTGCATCTGTTCTAGTTATAGTCCCTCTGGGTAGCAAAAAGGTATTACCTTTCCTTCAGTTATCAGTTATGGCAACGAATGTGGACAAGTTAACTGCCTGGGAAGAATTGTCAGCAAAGAGATGAACGTAGGAATTCAGCAGCCACCTATGAACGTAGGAATTCAGCAGTGACCCAGCAGGCGTGAGAGTGGTTGTGCAGTATGTCTTCCTCCCGAGCCAGGTGATAAACACTGGATGAGGTCATGGAAGAATGACAGTTAACGTTTCACTTGAACTTGGGAGAAATCCACCTCAGTCTGAGGACTTCACACCTCTGGGCAAACCACAACTGTAGTTCATTTGAAATGGTAAAAACCATTTGTTTGGGGTAGAGGAAAAATGTCTTCTCAACTATTAAAAAAAAAATTCAAATTAATACAGAGATGATGGAGTGAAATTAACTCATCGTATAACTGGTTTTGGAGTTAAATTCAGGGTCATCTGTGTTTGTTGTGAAAAATACTTCTAATTCAGGTTAAAGAAAGTGGAATAATTTCTTTATGATTATTTGACCTGATTATTTGAGAGAAATCTGTCCAGCCTGAGAGAATTTAGCTCGACCTAGAGGACCAGGGAGCCAGGTGGAAAAGCACAGGAGACCTGATGGGCGGGTACTGCCTTCAGGCTTCCCAGAACTCCCACCTCCGTAAACCAGTACATCTCTCTTCAACACCATTAAATAAATCCCAGCCTCTGGGCTCCAGCCTCCATTCCTTCCAGCTTCCCTCAGCCTCACAAGCTACCTGTTATTTGGGGGTATTTTTCCCTCCCTGTCTTGTTTCTCACTTCTCTCTGGCTCTCAGTTTCTCCATATATACACACTCTGTCACTTTCAACCTGAATAAACGTTCCCTCCATTAAATATGCCCCAGTCCCAAGATGCCACACTCTCCTCCCCTTCCTAACAGACCTTCAGAAAGACCACGCTGACGTAGGCCTCCATTGCCTCAGCCTTATTCAGGCCTCTAGGTCAGGATGGTCTGACTCTCTTCTTCCCCAAACCCCTGAAACTGCTCTCCAAGGCCACCAGTGACCTCACAGTGAGACCTCCTAGCCTCTCCGTGGCATCGGACATAACTGACCGCTCCCTCCTTGATTCCTCCTTCCCTCCGGTTTCTGAGTCTCCACTCATCCCTGCTTTTCCTCCTACACCGGTGGCCCCTCCTTCTTCCTCTTTTGTCCTCCCTTTTCAAGTGTGGGTTCCGGGGACGTTCTTTCTCAGCTCTCTTCTCTTTTTACTCTGTACACTCTTGGTGACCAACTTCCCAGGAATGACAATAATAGAAGCCATTTCCAGAGTATCAGTCACTTAACACATGCCGGCTCTAATTCATAAGACAATTCTGCAAGGCCCATAACAAGACTGCTGTTAGTAACACTGAAGGAACACTTATGAACCAGTTACCGAATTCAGTCTTTTACATAAAAATACCATTAACATCAGTTTAGAGATCATAAACTGAAGCCAAGAAAGTCTGAGTGACTGTCCCAGACTGCACACTGTGGCAGAGCTAGGATGCCCATGAAGGACTCCCAGCCTGCCTGGCCTCTCCCACTCCAGATCCCCTCCTGCTCAAAGGGGCTCCCTCAGCCTAAACCTCTCTCCCTGGTTTTAAGTACCAAATACCCACAAATCCTGCTCATATCTTCATCTGGAAGACCAGACACACCACAAAATCAGCTTGTCTCGAGCACAGTTCATTCTCTTCTTCCAACCCCACTCTTCTCTTCTGTGTCCTCTTGAAGAATAATAACAGTTCCTCAGCCCAGCTGTCCACAACTGAGCCCAAATGATGTCCTCTCTCTGCGTCCTCCTCCCATTCCCAACATCCTGCTTCCTCATGTCCTTCTAGTCAGTCAGTTCTTTCCATAGACCATTCCGTGAGTCTTCCCTCTCCTACCCACTCTCTGTTACTTTAGTTCTAGCTCACATCATCTACTTTCTGGCCCATGGCAGCAACCCTCCACTCAGCCTCCCTGCCTCCAGTCTTCCCGCCCTAGTACAACCTCCACACTGCTGCCATCTCCACTGGAAATCCTTAAATGGCTCCTCACTGCCACCAGGACCAAGACCAATTCCCTGATTGTCTTTCTGCCTCCCCCGACCATACACACCTGTTACGATTCCAGCCATACGGAACTATTTGGAGCTCCCCGGATGCTCTGGCCAGCACTGTTCCATACAACTCTCTGTGATAATGGAAATGTTCTATAATGGCGCTGTCCAATATGGTGGTCACAGGTAGCTAGCTAGTCAGTATTTGACATGTGACTAGTACAACGAAGGAACTGATTTTTAGTTTTTATTTACCTTTAATTTAAATTTAAGTAGTCACAGGTGACTGGTAGATACCATATTGCATTAGCACAGCAATTTATATCAAAGTGTGAGCCAACAGCATGGATCTCACTGAAAGCTTGTTAGAAATAAAGAATCTCGGGCCCCACCTCTGATCTGCTGATTCGTAACCTGCATTTCAACCAACCTCATTTGTATGCACACTGAAGTTTCAAGAAGCACTGCACTAAGAGCTCTTGCTTCCTTGCCTTTGCATGTGCTGATTTCCTTGTCTGGACTGCCTATCACCTCTCTTCCTTTGCTCCTTAACTCCTATCTATCCCTCAAGACTCAGCATCTACAAGCACAACATATCCTTAGTATGATTATCTGGAGGACAGAGGGTGGTGGGGAGGGGTGAGGAGGAGAGAGAAAATGTCTACGATAAAGCCACACGTATCTTGTAATCACAACTATCTAATATCTGTATACTGTATCTATATCCATATGCACACATATTATAGTCTGTATGTCCTCATGCGAAGATCGTTACTGTTAATGGTGGTTCTCTCAAGGTGGTGGGACTTTGTGTATTATTTTCCTTTAAGTATTTCAGAATTTTTCAAATTCTTTACAATGAGCCTGTACCGTTTATAATCAGAAAATAAAATAATCATCACTTTCATTACAGAAAATAAAAGAAGCCTGCTTCAGCCTTCTGTAAACACTTATATGAACATGATATCAGAACAAAGTAGAGTTGACCTTTGAACAACGCGGGGGTTGGAGGCACTGAACCCAGCATAGTCAAAAACCCACAGATAACTTTCGACTCTCCCAAAACTTAACTACTAATAGCCTTCTGTTGACTGGAAACCTTACCCATAACCTTAACAGTCTATTAAAACACATTTTATATGTTATGTGTTTAATATACTGTATTCTTTAAATTAAGCTAGAGAAAAAAGGCTATTAAGAAAATTGTAAGGAAGAGAAAATAGATTCACAGTACTGTACTATATTTATAAAAAA